CACACTCAGGAGATTTTCTTCTAGCTGTTCCCAATTCCTCCCTGGGCACTCGACTAGACCCACAGGCCATTCAGATTGGTGTTGCTCTTCGCCTAGCCGCCCCCATCCTCAACGAACATAGGTGTATTTGCAGCAGGGCGACAGCTGATCAATTCGTACTTCATGATCTCGTGTGTCACGCAGCAGAAGGGAAGTATGCCAAACATGAGGAGGTCAATGACATCATAAAGAGAAGCCTCGCCGCAGCCAGTTGCCCAGGTCAACCGGAACCCCAAGTGCAGAGGTATGACGGAAGTCAAAAGCGTCCTGATGGAGCCACTGTGCTACCCTGGAAGGATGGAAAGCAGATTGCCTGGGACTACACCTGTGCTGCCACATTGGCAGACACCTACTTGCCATACTCTATAGTGAAAGGGGGTGGAGCTGCCAGCCACAGGAAGATCCAGAAGATCCACAAATATGAAGATCTTTCCCCTCGCTATAACTTCATCCCAATAGGGTCGGAGACCCTTGGAGCATGGGGCAAGTGGGCTCTAAAGTTCCTCAAACAGCTGGGTGAAAAGCTCATCATAGAAACCAAGGAGCACAGGGCGACCAGTTTCCTTTTTCAGAGACTCAGTATCACGATCCAGAGAGGAAATGCCTGCATCATTCTGGGCACGCGGCTCACAGCCGGGGAGCTGGACATAGTATTCAAGATGTAGCTCTGAGTTGTTATCTGTGTTGTTTTACTTTCTGTTGTATATTTGTGAATGCTTTGTCAATGTATTTTGTCTTTAAATAAAATATACTGTATATTAAATATAGGGGGGTGGTAGGAGAAAATTCTTAAACAGCTTTAGGGAGAACCTTGAGTTTTCCCTGAAGCAAGTTTATTCTTTTCTCTGAGGATGAGGGTCCCCAGGACAGTTCTAGAGGTGGTACCTCCCTATTAATATATATATATATATATATATTATATATATATATATATATATATATATATATATATATATATATATATATATATATATATACACAAAACAACCACAGTGAATAAATAGCAAAATTCAAAGACTTCTCACATTATCAAGTAACTATAAAAAGAAAAACATCAAAAGGAAAGCATATAAAGGGTCAAGACTACACCTCACCATCACGTCACCACAACAAAACTTCACCTCACAGTCGCATTACCACAACAAGACTACACCTCACCATCACGTCACCACAACAAGACTACACCTCACAGTCGCATTACCACAACAAGACTACACCTCACCATCACGTCACCACAACAAGACTACACCTCACAGTCGCATTACCACAACAAGACTACACCTCACCATCACGTCACCACAACAAGACTACACCTCACAGTTGCGTCACCACAACAAGACTACACCTCACCATCACGTCACCACAACAAGACTACACCTCACAGTTGCGTCACCACAGCAAGACTACACCTCACCATCATGTCACCACAACAAGACTACACCTCACCATCACGTCACCACAACAAGACTACACATCTCAGTCGCGTCACCACAACAAGACTACACCTCACCATCACGTCACCACAACAAGACTACACATCTCAGTCGCGTCACCACAACAAGACTACACCTCACAGTCGCGTCACCACAACAAGACTACACCTCACCATTACGTCACCACAACAAGACTACACCTCACAGTTGCGTCACCACAACAAGACTACACCTCACCATCACGTCACCACAACAAGACTACACCTCACAGTCGCGTCACCACAAGACTACACCTCACCATCACGTCACCAAAACAAGACTACACCTCACAGTTGCGTCACCACAGCAAGACTACACCTCACCATCACGTCACCACAACAAGACTACACCTCACAGTCGCGTCCACCACAACAAGACTACACCTCACCATCACGTCACCACAACAAGACTACACCTCACACTCGCGTCACCACAACAAGACTACACCTCACCATCACGTCACCACAACAAGACTACACATCTCAGTCGCGTCACCACAACAAGACTACACCTCACCATCACGTCACCACAACAAGACTACACATCTCAGTCGCGTCACCACAACAAGACTACACCTCACAGTCGCGTCACCACAACAAGACTACACCTCACCATCACGTCACCACAACAAGACTACACCTCACAGTCGCGTCACCACAACAAGACTAAAACCTCACCATCACGTCACCACAACAAGACTACACCTCACAGTTGCGTCACCACAGCAAGACTACACCTCACCATCACGTCACCACAACAAGACTACACCTCACAGTCGCGTCACCACAACAAGACTACACCTCACCATCACGTCACCACAGCAAGACTACACCTCACAGTTGCGTCACCACAGCAAGACTACACCTCACCATCATGTCACCACAACAAGACTACACCTCACCATCACGTCACCACAACAAGACTACACCTCACCATCACGTCACCACAACAAGACTACACATCTCAGTCGCGTCACCACAACAAGACTACACCTCACAGTCGCGTCACCACAACAAGACTACACCTCACCATCACGTCACCACAACAAGACTACACTTCACACTCGCGTCACCACAACAAGACTACACCTCACCACCACGTCACCACAACAAGATTACACCTCACACTCGCGTCACCACAACAAGACTACACCTCACCATCACGTCACCACAACAAAACTACACCTCACAGTCACGTCACCACAACAAGACTACATCTCATCATCACGTCACCACAACAAGACTACACCTCACCATCACGTCACCACAACAAGACTACACCTCACAGTCGCGTCACCACAACAAGACTACACCTCACCATCACGTCACCACAACAAGGCTACACCTCACAGTCGCGTCACCACAACAAGACTACACTTCACAGTCACGTGAGGTGTCGTATCAGGTGATACACACCTGATATTCTACCTAAGCACCAAGATTTTTTACTTGTCCAATGTATCATTAAATTCTTCCAAAATTTTATTAATTGTAAATTAATCCAATTTATATAAACCAAAAGAAATAATCATATTATTTTCAAAACTGTTTTTTATGTATCATGATTCTATTATATTCCTGTCGACCATGGACTTGATTGATTCAGCTTTCTCGACCTTTAAAAAAATCAATTAGATTGTTAAAATCTCTCACATGAATAAACAGATCATTAGAATCTTGTCCAGTTCTAATGTTATATTTATATTTTAATCTTAGTTCGAGACTTTTACCAGTTTGACCGTAATAAACTTTATGGCAAATTTTACAAGGAAACTTTTAGACACATCCGTCAGCATTTTGGGGAGAATTTTTTATCGAAAGTTTGTTTACTGTATCATGATTTTTAAATACAACTTTGATATTAAAAGTCTTAAGAAGAGAGAACCAACATATTTTTAGTTGAATAAGGTTTGTTGTCCCTTTTTGAATTGTAAAAATATATTTCTAGCAATTTTAAAGGATTTATCAATTACGTTTCTTGGGTACTTTTGATCATTAGGTAATTCATAAAATTTGGATATTTAAATCTAAGAGAAAAAATGCTTACAATAGAAGTAAATAAAAACAATTCTAATGGTTAGCAAGCAGCTTGCAAGTTTCTGTGACAGCTATTATTAATTCATCACCCCACTATTGTCTTCTACCAAAATTCATTAAATTTAATTCAAGTCTTTTAAATCCTTGGCTGGATAAAACTGACGTAAATAACTGAATCTGCGCTGGTCTAGCATTTTTTTTTATTGGCCAAGTTAATTTTTTTTATTAAAAAATAATAATCTATTGCTATTCAGATTTGGATTGTGAGCCTCAGTTAACTTTGATGAATAACACAAAAATGTACAGCTGGAATTCCTTATTTCAGAAATGTATCGCCCACCAACAACTTTACCTACTTTAGTGACATGAGAAAATATATTATTGCATTTGAGGGACGGGATAGTAATGGTGCTTATATAAAAGTGGGCAGAGCTTGCTAGTAGAGATGTATATGTAATTTACTTGGTCTCATAATAAACATGACCTCTGTTTTAGGTGCTAGCGAATTACAAATGCACTAACAAGCCCCGTGAACACCTTTGTGACAGTTATTACTGTGTCATCATCGCTCCATTATGTCTCCTTTCACTTGTCTGTATTACTGTGTCCCCTCAAGGGAGGTTCCTTAATGCTGGTGAGGGGCTCTTGATCTAGTGAATTGGATCTGTGCTCCAGTTCCCTGAATTGCGCCTGAATACCTTTTATCCCCCCCATATGCTCTGTATAATCCTACAGGTTTAGCGCTTCCCTATGATTACAATAATAATACTCAGCATTACTGTAACGCACAAAATTACTCACATGTAAGATGCCCATATACGTTATTCATTAACTTGTTAGAATTACAGATTCTTAATGTATCATTGTAATCAGACAGAGGAACGTAATGAATTTTGGTACAGAGAAATTTGGCATTCTACTAATAACACCAGTCTTCGTACATTATGTTATTTTCTGTATAATCTTCATCATTAATAATTGTATAATACGTGAAACATTATTTTAGTTTGTAACAAAAAGGCACAATACCGTGACTGGAACGATACACAAATAACCCGCACATAAAAGAGAGAAGCTTACGACGACTTTTCGGTCCGACTTGGACCATTGACAAAGTCACACTAACAGAGGTGGAGCAGGACGGCTATATATAGGCAGGAAGAGGTGGAGGTGGTAGTAGTAGTAGTACTACTACTACTACTACTACTACTACTACTACTACTACTACTACTACTACTACTACTACTACTACTACTACTACTACTACTACTACCTCCACCTCTTCCTGCCTATATATAGCCGTCCTGCTCCACCTCTGTTAGTGTGACTTTGTCAATGGTCCAAGTCGGACCGAAACGTCGTCGTAAGCTTCTCTCTTTTATGTGCGGGTTATTTGTGTATTATTTTAGTTTACATTAATGAAAGCTTCAACTTTTTCTTTGTTCTGGACAGAATGAAGCTTCGTAGAGAACAAGCTGTGTGGCTGAAAATGATCATTATCTGTGTCCTCGCACTCTCCTTCTCAGCTTCTGACGCCGCTACCACTGCTCAGTCCTTCACTCAAGTAAGTTAAGTCAGTCCTGCCAGGCCTCTTCCACCACTGTCATCACCAAATCCTTCAGGTATTACTTGCAGGATCACCAGAATATAAATCATACTTCTCTCAGTCGCTACGCTATTTAATAAATATATTCGGTGTATCACATACCACAGTCTGCATACCACAAGCTGTACCTCAAAAACCATCAGTAGGCAGAGATGCAACAAGTTTATAACAGTTCTAGGAGCCATAACTGAACACTTCTAAAGTTTCAGGGAATTAGATATCAACAATTTCAAGAGGCTTAAGAGTTTTAATGATCACACCCAAGAAGCTTTGTATCTCCAGCTCAAAACTCTCTTAAAACTCAGCCACAGTAGTCAAAGATTTCCGTTTCAATTTAGCTCTGGCATAAAGTTATTAGTGATAATTATCACTCACAAGAGAAACAGACCCATAAACTCGATGTGATCATTACACTGCCGCATTACATGTATCTGACAAAGTGTTAACTTGTCATAACATTATTTGATGTTATAATAACACTAGAAGTTGAAGCTTAGGAACAGTGAAATCACAACATATTATAAAAAAAATATTATTATTAAAAATTCTACAAAGTATAAGAAATAAAATAGTTCACTTGACATAGCTAAATGATGAAATAAAAATAACTTTGAACCTTTTCAACATTATTACTCATAATATGGAATACTGATCAATTATGTAATGAACATAAATGTAATAATTACATTTATAAAGGAGGTTGGAAACTCAACCATAAACACATCTGTGAGTGGAGACATAGTATTATAAGACTGTATAGTGAACAATGTGTTATCACGAAGGGAGCATCATGTCCCTTTCCAAACCTGCAGGTACAACCCTCCCTGAGAAGCTTGTCTTCCGGAGAGATATTAGTTAACTGCAAAATGAGACGAAGGAAGGTGATAGAGTTGTATGAATTCCTACAGGTATATACATGAGAGTAATGCACTCACAAACACACGAGTCCTTGAATAACAGTTACCAAAGCAATCTAAAGTTACAACTATGCCATAGATTGGTCCCTGGTAAACGGAAATAGAAATTATTCCCGCAAGGCGTATACAGGAAGGCCTAAGCGCACCCTCTCAACTCTTCTCCAGCGGCCAACACTGGATTGACAACACTTGTGACTAGAAAGATGTCAGTAACTGCAACAACAAAATTAATAATAACAATAATAATAATAATAATAATAATAATAATAATAATAATAATCCTTATTTCTAAATCACGAAATCGTATTAACACAATCGTGTTAATATAGTTTCGTAAGTCACATTTGTTTGCAGTCGCAAACGAATCAAGGAACTGGTGGATCTTGAACCTGCGATGGCAGCTTTGAAGGAACTTGAGCTAGAGTTCGTCACAGCCACGCTAGTGTGGGATTCGTCTGTAAAAACTTGCATTTGTGGTCACAGTGGTGGCCCATGTTAGCCTTCCTATGGTACACAGAAATATACCTAGTTGGATGAATCGTATTAGAGGCAGCTGGCCCAGTGGTTAACGCAATGGCCCCTGAGTTTTAGGATTCATTTGCCACGGGTTCAAACCCCATTCGTTCCGAGGTTTGTTTGCAACAGCATTATTACTATTTTGTAAGTCATGTTCAGAGCTTCATTTATAATATATATATATATATATATATATATATATATATATATATATATATATATATATATATATATATATATATATATATATATATATATATATATATATTGTAAATATCCCAAACCATACGATAGAGGCTACTAAACAACCACGGGGGAGTAAAATGATAGCTCTAGGCCTGTTGTGTTGCAATCAACACATCATCAGGAGCTTGCAAAGTTGCAAAGAAAAGGAAAACATCCGAGCGAACACGTTCCCAGAGGATGCATTCACTGGAGTGAGGGAGGACGGAGTGAGAAAGAGAAGGTAACAGGAAATTTCCCCAGGCATACCAGCACCCATAGCCAGAAAGGTTGAATATTATAGTAATAGAAAAATCCCACAAATTCAAATTCAAATTCAAATTCAAAGTTTATTCTCTGTGGATTACAATGTTGATTTTACAGAATTTGGTTGTTGTGTGGTTTACATGTAGTTAGATAATGATTACAGAGTGTATCACCAGAACGCCTAGCATGGCTAGGCATTTCGGGCAGACTTAGATTAATTCTTTATTTTAAAATATTACAAATTATGAAGTAAGTTGGTATTATGGCTAAGTGACTAAATACTAGTTTGTGAGTTTAGCAATGTGAATGCTTTTGTTTTGGCACAGTACATAGTTTCAGTATTGGAGTATCATAGGATTCATTATTTTAAGATTGAGATTAATATTTCTGTTTATGGTCAAATGGGTGAGTGAGTGTAAGTGTGAACCACAGGTGGTATTCGTGTAGTTAGTTGATGGGGTGTATCAGGGAGATAAGATGTTTTCTAATGGTAGTTTTGAAGGTGATGAATGTGTCTGCAGTTCTAGAGTTCTCAGGTAGGGTGCTCCAGATTTTAGGACCTTTGACATACATTGAATTTTTGTAAAGGTTTAGTCGGACACGGGGAATGTCGTAGAGATGTTTGTGTCTGGTGTTATGCCTGTGGGTTCTGTCACAACTATCAAGAAAGCGTTTTAGGTCAAGGTTGATATTGGAGTTAAGGTCCTGTAGATGTAGATTGCACAGTAGTAAGTGGGGTTTGTACTGAACAGGGAGTAAGTTTAGATCTATGAAGAGTGGGGGGGGGGTGTGTTGCCAGGGATGGGATTTAGTGATTATTCTTACTGCAGCTTTTTGTTGGGTTATTATTGGCTTTAGGTACGTTGCTGCAGTTGATCCGCAAGCACAAATAGCATAGGTGAGGTATGGATAAATAAGTGAGTGTATAGTGTGAGAAGGGCATTTTGCGGCACGTAGTATCGTATCTTGGAGAGGATCCCAACCGTTTTGGATACTTTTTTGGTTGTGTTGGATATGGGTGCTGAAATTCAGGTTGTTGTCAAGGTATAGGCCCCAGAATTTGCCCTCATTATGTCTGGTAATTAGAGTGTTGTCGATCTTAATGTTAATTTGTGCATCTCCTGCTCTGCTACCAAACATAATATAGTAGGTTTTGTCAGTGTTAAGCGTAAGTTTATTGGCTGTCATCCAAGTCGATATTATGATCAGCTCCTCGTTAACAATGGTGTTGAGAGTGGCAAGATTAGGGTGAGAGATGACATAAGTCGTGTCGTCAGCAAAGAGAATGGGTTTCAGGTGTTGGGATACGTTTGGAAGATCATTGATGTATATGAGGAAGAGCAGGGAACCAAGGACACTTCCCTGCAGAACTCCAGTATCAAGTTGCCGTGTTGTTGATGCTGTGTCTTTAATGGTGACATACTGATACCTATTAGTAAGGTAAGATTTGAAATAAGCAAGCGCATGGCCTCTTATACCGCAATGGTCAAGTTTGTGGAGTAGGATGCCGTGGTCTACTGTGTCAAAAGCTTTTTTTTAGGTCAATAAAAAATTCCTAGTGGATATTCCTTATTTTCCAATGCTGTGTAAAGTAGATCTAGCATTTTTATGATTGCATCATTAGTGCTTTTATTTTTCCTGAATCCAAATTGGCAGGGGTTGAGTATGTTTTGTGCCGTTATAAATGAATATAGTCTCCTGTGCACGAGTTTCTCAAAGATTTTGGATAGCAATGGTAAGTTTGATATTGGCCTATAGTTGTTTAAGTCTGTAGGGTTACCACCTTTATGTATTGGTGTAACCCTTGCCATCTTGAGTAGTTTCGGGAAGGTGCTAGTTTCTAGTGACTTGTTAAAAAGTAATGAAATAGCATGCGAAAGGACATGGCCGCTCGCTTGTACAGAAATGGTGGGACATGAGACAGATTCCCTGAGTTGTTTTTAAGTGACTTTATAATCTCGGTGACTTCCGTGGGCTCAGTTGGTGCAAGATAGAAAGAATTTGGGAAATTCCCATCTAGGTAGTCCCCGGCATGGGCATTGGTATGTGGGATTTTATTGGCGAGATTAGATCCTATGGTTGAGAAGAAGTCGTTTATCTTGTTAGCTGTGTCAGTGGGATGTAGTGGTGTTTCATTAGGTTTAGTTAGGACAATATTCTTGGATTTTTTCAGTTTGTGGGTCCCTAGAATCTGAGAGAGTGTTTTCCAGGTCTTTTTTATATCTCCTCTAGTGTCTGTGAATCGACTGGAGTAGTATAGTTGTTTGGCTTTCTTTATTACTTTGGTGATATTGAAACAATAATCTAAACGAATGTAACGTGACAGTTATCAAAAACTCCGCCAGACTCTGCTATGATCTAAGTAATTTTACATACATAATTATGTTGCCGGTGATATGGAAGTCACTGACAATTATGGGGTACCATCCACGAGAAAACAGGTCCACTTAAAGGGACGTGTAAATGGGACCATTTAAAGGGGAGACTTCTATAAGTTATACAAAGGAAACGGGGCTCATTAAAATAAACTTATTTAAAGAGGGAGGCATCTGTAATGACAAGGAAGACTGCTACAATTATTCATCCCACATGATTCTGAGGAAAATTGTGGTTCAACCTTTAAAAAAAAAATAGGCTCTAATTCGTTGGTGTGGCACTACATTTAGGAAGTCCCAGGCATTCGTATGAGAGCCCAATTTTTGATTGTGTACTATTGTCTCAACTAAAAATGTATCTAATTTGAATATCCCACCACTGGCATTTTATAATGAATGTTTATCATGCTTAATAATTGCCAATTCTACAATATTCATTTCATGTCAAGAGGATTATTATCATTATAATAATAAAAAAGAAGCGCTAAGCCACAAGGGCTATACAGCTCATGCCAAGAGTAACAAGGGAAGATGACTCTTATTTCCTGCCAGTTTGTCAGGTTATTACAAGCTCTAATGTCGTTGAAAATCGCGTTCAACTCCAGCACTACATGTATCGAATAATGGTGTTGTGATATTCTAACTTCTAAAGATTTTCCTGTCTGTCCCACATAGGAGAGATTGCAACCACTGCATCAGATTCTGTAGACACCACCAGCATGCTCTTGAGGTGAATTCTTTATCAGAATACTTCTAACGGTCTGTGAATTTTTAAAAAACTACTTAAACATTAAATCTTTCAAGGGCATTCGGCAGGATAGATAAATTCTCATTGCATGGGAGGACCACCACATTCTTGGTCTGAGGTGTTATCTTAGGCTCGAATACTCCTAATACTTTTGTTACCATCCCTTGTACAGTTTACCTCACACTACTAAAAAATTATTGTACCGTACATAGTTTACCTCCCAGTACTCTAGTGTTCATATTCTTTTCACACTACTTGTGTTATTATGGTACATTACTTTCGAAATAGTTGTTTAACATTATATAATTTCCTGTTCACTAGTAGGTCTAATATAATGGGACAAAATAACTTATTATTCACTACTAGTGCAAATATATTAGACACAACTAATTTTCTGTTTGCAACTTGTTCTATAACACTTGATACATAAAGTTACGTGAAGATTGATGCTTACAACTTTCTCAATTATACTTGAACAGCTAGACCCGAGGTGACATTGTTCATACATAACATTCTCCAATGTTCCTGGCAGGTAACACCAAGTCTCCCACCAGATGCAGATACATGTCTGTTGCAACAGACAACAATGGTTGCAGCTTCCTCTGTCCAGTGTGCCAACATTTGCCTTAATAACCCCAACTGCACACTCTTCTGTGTCTTGGGTAAGTGTAAGTGTAAGATCTCTGGAGTTTTTGTGGCAGCACACTCCAACATCTTCCTGTTCTCTCTCAAGTGTGTGGTAGACAAGGCTTTCCCTCTGCCTTTCCATCGCAAAGCTTCAGTTAACCAAAGGAATAATAAAAAAAAAATATGACGCCTATAAGTTGAAGGGTTTAATATATATATATATATAATATATATATATATATAATATATATATATATATATATATATATATATATATTATATATATATATATATATATATATATATATATGTCGTGCCGAATAGGCAGAACTTGAGATCTTGGCTTAAATAGCAACGTTCATCTTGCCATATAAGACAAGTGAAAATTTGTGTATGCAATAATGTCGCCAAAATCATTCTGAACCTAACGAAAAAAATATATTTCACTGTGTTTGTTTAGTATTAAATTATTGTAAACAAATCTAAAATATATTTAGTTGGGTTAGGCTAAAATAAATTGTTCTTGTTATAATTAGGTTAGGTAAGTTTTCTAAGACTCTTTTGGAGAAAAATAAAAAAATTTTACATTAACATTAATGAAAAATATATATCTTTAAACGAATAAGAGAAAGTTTCAGAAAGGACTTAATTTTAAATGAGTTCTTGCTAATTGACCAGTTTTACATATTCGGCACGACATATATATATATATATATATATATATATATATATATATAATATATATATATAATATATATATATATATATATATATATATATAATGTTGTGGAGGGAGTAGTAGGTAAATTTGGGGTGCCAGGGGTAAATGAAAATGGGGAGCCTTTAATTGAGTTAGGTGTAGAAAGAGGTTTGGTAATAAGTAATACATATTTTATGAAGAAGAGGATAAATAAATATACAAGGTATGATGTAGCACGTAATGAAAGTAGTTTGTTAGGTTATGTATTGGTGGATAAAAGGTTGATGGGTAGGCTCCAGGATGTACATGTTTATAGAGGGGCAACTGATATATCGGATCATTATTTAATTGTAGCTACAGTTAGAGTAAAATGTAGACAGGATAAGAAGAAAATGGCAACAACAAGTAAGAGGGAGGTGAAAGTGTATAAATTAAGGGAGGAGGAAGTTCGGGTGAATATAAGCAACTATTGGCAGAAAGGTGGGCTGGTGCAAGTATGAGTAGTGGGGGGAGTTGAAGAGGGTTGGAATAGTTTTAAAAATGCAGTATTATAATGTGGGGCGGAAGTTTGTGGTTATAGGAGGGTGGGGGCAGGAGGAAAGAGGAGTGATTGGTGGAATGATGAAGTAAAGGGTGTGATAAAAGAGAAAAAGGTAGCTTATGAGAGGTATTTACAAAGCAGAAGTGTTATAAGGAGAGTAGAGTATATGGAGAGTAAAAGAAATGTGAAGAGAGTGGTGAGAGAGTGCAAAAGGAGAGCAGATGATAGAGTGGGAGAGGCACTGTCAAGGAATTTTAATGAAAATAAGAAAAAAATTTGGAGTGAATTAAACAAGTTAAAAAAGCTTAGGGAACAAATGGATTTATCAGTTAAAAACAGAGAAGGGGAGTTAATAGATGGGGAGATGGAGGTTTTGGGAAGATGGCGAGAATATTTTGAGGAACTTTTAAATGTCGACGAAGAAAGGGAGGCGGTAATTTCATGCACTGGACAGGGAGGTATACCATCTTTTAGGAGTGAAGAAGAACAGGATGTGAGTGTGGGGGAGGTGCGTGAGGCATTACATAGAATGAAAGGGGGTAAAGCAGCTGGAACTGATGGGTTCATGACAGAAATGTTAAAAGCAAGGAAGGGGGGACATAGTGTTGGAGTGATTGGTATTTTTGTTTAATAAATGTATGAAAGAGGGGAAGGTACCTAAGGATTGGTGGAGAGCATGTATAGTCCCTTTATATAAAGGGAAAGGGGACAAAAGAGATTGTAAAAATTATAGAGGAATAAGTTTACTGAGTACACCAGGAAAAGTGTATGGTAGGGTTATTTTTGAAATAATTAGAGGTAAGACAGAATGTAGAATTGCTGATGAGCAAGGAGGCTTCAGAGTGGGTAAGGGATGTGTAGATCAAGTGTTTACATTGAAGCATATATGTGAGCAGTATTTAGATAAAGGTAGGGAAGTTTTCATTGCATTTATGGATTTAGAAAAGGCATATGATAGGGGAGCAATGTGGCAGATGTGGCAAGTATATGGAATAGGTGGTAAGTTACTAAATGCTGTAAGGAGTTTTTATGAGGATAGTGAGGCTCAGGTTAGGGTGTGTAGAAGAGAGGGAGAATACTTCCCGGTAAAAGTAGGTCTTAGACAGGGATGTGTAATGTCACCATGGTTGTTTAATATATTTATAGATGGGGTTGTAAAAGAACTAAATGCTAGGGTGTTTGGGAGAGGGGTGGGATTAAATTATGGGTAATTAAATACAAACTGGGAAGTGACACAGTTACTTTTTGCTGATGATACTGTGCTTATGGGAGATCCTAAAGAGAAGTTGCAAAGGTTAGTGGACGAATTTGGGAACGTGTGTAAAGGTAGAAAGTTGAAAGTGAACATAGAAAAGAGTAAGGTGATGAAAGTATCAAATGATTTAGATAAAGAAAAATTGGATATCAAATTGGGGAGGAGGAGTATGGAAGAAGTGAATGTTTTCAGATATTTGGGAGTTGACGTGTCAGCGGATGGACTTATGAAGGATGAGGTTAATCACAGAATTGATGAAGGAAAAAAGGTGAGTGGTGCATTGAGGTATATGTGGAGGTAAAAAATGTTATCTGTGGAGGCAAAGAAGGGAAAGTATGAAAGTATAGTAGTACCAACACTCTCATATGGGTGTGAAGCTTGGGTTGTAAATGCTGCAGCGAGGAGGCGGTTGGAGGCAGTGTAGATGTCCTGCCTAGTGTAAATATTATGCAGAAAATTCGGAGTGTGGAAATTAGGAGAAGGTGTGGAGTTAATATAAGTATTAGTCAGAGGGCTGAAGAGGGGTTGTTGAGGTGGTTTGGTCATTTAGAGAGAATGGATCAAAGTAGAATGACATGGAGAGCGTATAAATCTGTAAGGGAAGGAAGGCGGGGTAGGGGTCGTCCTCGAAAAGGTTGGAGGGAGGGGGTAAAGGATGTGTGTTTGAGAGGGGTTTAGACTTCCAGCAAGCGTGTATGAGCGTGTTAGATAGGAGTGAATGGAGGCAAATGGTATTTGGGTCCCTACGATCTGTTGGAGTGTGAGCAGGGTAATATTTAGTGAAGGGATTCATGGAAACCGGTTATTTTATATAACCAGACTTGAGTCGTGGAAAAGGGAAGTACAATGCCTGCACTCTAAAGAAGGGGTTTGGGATATTAGCAGTTTGGAGAGATATATTGTGTATTTTTATAAGTATATATTTCAAAACTGTTATATTCTGTATTCTGGGCACCTCTGCAAAAACAGTGATTATGTGTGAGTGAGGTGAAAGTGTTAAATGATGATGAAAGTATTTTCTTTTTGGGGATTTTCTTTCTCTTTGGGTCACCCTGCCTCGGTGGGAGACGACCAACTTGTTGAATATATATATAATATATATATATATATATATATATATATATATATATATATATATATATATATATATAATATATATATATATATATATATATATATATATATATATATATATATATAGCCCTCAAGGATGATACCACGGCCCAAGCACTAAAAGACAAGCATCCAACCAGGGACACCATAGCCATCAACGACAACCCTGAGGAAGACCCCATCATTGAACAATTAATTTTGCCAGAATCGGAAGTCTATAAGGCGATCGTGTCATTTCCAGCAGGATCTGCAGGAGGTTACACTGGAATTCGACCTCAGCACCTCAAAGAGATGGTAAATCCAATACTCGGTGAATCTGCATCAATTCTTCTCACCGAGTTAACAACTTTCGTCAACAATTGCATGGCTGGGCGAATCCCAGAGAAATTAAACCTTTCGTTTTTGGAGCCTCACTATATGCTTTGAGGAAGAGGGATGGGGGAATCAGACCCATTGTAGTTGCAAACACCCTTCGCCGTCTCGTTGGCAAAGCAACAGTGAGAAACATTCGCCTAGAAGCTGCCACTTTACTCCAGCCACACCAACTGGGCTTTGGGGTCTCTCAAGGCAGTGAAGCTGCAGCTCATTCCGCAAGTGCGTATATCAGGGACCTACCAGAAGACAAGGCCATATTCAAACTTGATTTTAGAAATGCCTTTAATATGGTGAAGAGAGATGCTGTTTTGCCAGCTGTTCGGGATCGGTTCCCCAGTCTTTTTCCCTTCATTTCAGCCGGCTACAGCAAACCCTCAATTCTTTTGTTTGGAGAACATGAAATTCAATCATCAGAGGGTGTTCAGCAGGGTGACCCACTCGCTCCACTTCTCTTCTGCTTGGCAGTAAGAGAACTAATTTCCAGCCTATGCAGTGAGCTCAATATCTGGTACCGGGATGACGGCACTCTGGCAGGTACTGAAGAAACCCTGGTGGGGACCTACAACTGGTGAAAACACAGGGAGAAGACTTGGGACTCATCCTCAATCACTCCAAGTGTGAAATCATCACAGCAAATCAGGAAATAATAAAGTGCTGTGCGAAGAATCCTCCCGGAAGTCTCAACTACCACTCCGTCCAACAGTACCCTCTTGGGGGCACCGCTGGGTCACCAGGCCATCGACACTGTCCTCAGGGAAAAATTTTTAAGTGACCTGATGAGAATGGAAGAGAGAATAAGCGATCTTGTTTGCCCATGATGCTCTGTATCTCCTTAAAAGGGTGTCTTACTTTGCCAAGACTCACTTTTTTGAGGTTTTGCACCCTTTTTTGACAACCCAACACCCCGATGAATATAAAGCACACCTGAATAAACTTTTAAGAAGGCACTGAGCCTGTCACTAGAGGATGAACAATGGGATCAGGAAAACCCTCCCAGTGCGACTGGGAGGTATAGGGGTGCGTAAAGCAACGCATGTTGCTTTACCTGCTT